ACCTTCTCCCTCACAAAGTGACAGTCAACCTCAATGTGCTTGGTTCTTTCATGAAACACCGGATTAGAAGAAATATGAACTGCAACCTGATTGTCACAATAGAGCTTCATTGGAGTATTGATGTTGTACCCTACTTCCTATAGAAGGTTCCTTAGCCACACTAATTCACAAGCAGTATGCGCCATAGCCCTATATTCTGCTCCTGCACTACTTGCCACGACTGTCTGCTTCTTACTTTTCCATGTCACCAGGTTACCTCCCAGGAAAGTGCAATAGCCTGTGGTAGACCGCCTATCAGACATATAACCGGCCCAATCAGCATCAGAATACCCTTCTATTTCAAGTTTTCCGCCACTTTTGTATATCAAACAGCGACCTGGAGCCCCTTTTAAATACCTCACAATTCTCAGAACTGCATTCCAATGAGGAATCAGGGGTTTCTGCATGAACTGACTCACCACACTAACCGCAAATGAAATATCTGGCCTAGTAATGGTTAGATAGTTTAGTTTACCTACAAGTCGTCGGTATCTGTCAGGGTCTTCAAACACTTCACCCATATCACTGCTTAGCCTAGTATTTGTGTCCATAGGTGTTTCAATTGGTTTAGCACCCAACAAGCCTGTTTCTTCCAGCAAATCAAGTACATATTTCCTCTAGCATAGATTAATACCATACTTATATCTTGCTACCTCTATCCCAAGAAATATTTTAGCTTACCAAGATCCTTTGTTTGAAAATGATCCTATGGATAAGTCTTCAGCCTGTCAATACCCATGTTATCATTCCCGGTAATAACAATATCATATACATACACCACCAACACTATTTTTCCTCCCGGAGAGTCATGACTGAATACAGAATGATCAACTTGGCACTGTTTCATACCAAACTTCTTTACTACCTCACTGAACCTACCAAACCATGCTCGAGGAGACTGTTTAGGCCCATATATAGCCTTCCTTAGTCTACACACCTTACCATCCTCCCCCGGAGCAACAAACCCTGGAGGTTGCTCCATGTAGATATCCTCAAGTAAGTCACCATGCAAAAAGGCATTCTTGATATCAAGCTGATATAGCGGCCAATCATACATAGCTGCAAGAGAGATCACAACACGAACTGACCCTATCTTAGCAACTGGTGAGAAGGTCTCTGTGTAGTCAACACCATAGGTTTGGGAGTACCCTTTTGCAACCAATCGCGCTTTCAGGCGTTCAACACTACCATCAGGTAGATACTTAACTGTATAAACCCATTTACAACCAACAGCTTGCTTCCCAGGAGGAAGAACGGTGAGGTTCCAAGTATGATTATGATGAAGGGCTGAAAGCTTCTTCCATCGCACGGTACCACCCTGGAGAGGCAAGGGCTTCCTGGACATCCTTAGGGACAACAACTGATGATAACAAGGTGACAAACTGGCAATGGGAGGCGGAAAGGTGAGTAAGTGAAACATAATTAGAAATAGGATGAAGGGTGCAAGTGCGTTTATCTTTCCGCAAGGCAATGGGGAGATCAAGCTCAAATGTTGGGTTTGGGTCTGGAGCCGGATCTGTCGACGAAGATGTAGCTGGAGGAGTAGTAGCTGGTACGCGTGGGCGATGTGTATATACATGACAAATAAGTGGGCGTTCAACAGGTGGTGGCACCGGAGGCAAGGATTTGGTCACGGCTGGAACAAGGGGAAGAGGAGGAGGTGATGAGGAGGAAGAAGCATCACCGGACCCAAAAAAAACGGAGTAGACTCAAAGAAGGTGACATCAGCACACACAAAGGACCGTCAAGAACTAGGATGGTAACACTTATACCCTTTCTAGGTCCGAGAATAGCCAAGGAAGATGCACTTGAGAGAATAGGCATTGAACTTGTCGTTCCCGGGACCCAGATTATGGATGAAGCAGACACACCCAAATACCCTAGGCATAAGAGGGAACGGAGACAAGGTGGGAAACTAGATCGTAAACGGAGAATGACCATCAAGGATGAACGTGGGCATCCGATTAATCAGAAAGCAAGAGGTAAGCACCGCATCACTCCAAAAGGGTTTGGGAACATTCATGTGATGCATGAAGGATCGTGTTGTTTCCAAGAGATGGTGATTCTTTCTCTCAGCCACCCCGTTTTGTTGTGGGGTGTAGGTACATGAGATCTGATGTATAATGTCGTGTTGGTCCAAGTATTCTTGAAATGATGAGGATAAATATTCACGGCCATTATCAGAACGGAAAACTTTAATGTGAATACCAAATTGATTACGAATCTYAGCATAAAAWTTYTGAAAAATGGTAAACAATTCACTTCTTTCTTTCATTAGATAGAGCCACGTCATCCTTGAAAAGTCATCKASAAAAATGACAAAATATCTATATCCATTATATGACATCACTTTATAAGGACCCCAAACATCGGAGTGAATCAAAGAAAAAGGACTGGACACACGGTTATCAATCCTAGAACTAAAGGGAACACGATGGTGTTTCCCAAACTGACACGACTCACAATCCAAAACAGAAAGTTGACTCAAAAACGGAACTAAAGACTTCAAGACTTTTAGCGACGGATGACCAAATCGGTAGTGCCACTAGAGAGGAGAAAGGGATGACTGGAGAGCTGTTGAAGTTCTTCCACCACTGTCAAGATAAGACAGTCCACCAGCTTTATGCCCTCCACCAATCTTCATCCCCGTCTTGAGATCCTGAAAAACACACATAGAAGGATAAAAAGTAATGGAGTTCCAATCTTCATCCCCGTCCACCAATCTTCATCCCCGTCCACCAATCTTCATCCCCGTCCACCAGCTTCATGATTTGGTCAGCTTACTAACAGACATAAGATTAAAAGGCAATTTAGGAACATACAAAACTGAGGAGAGAGATACAGGGTCTAGGTCAACATTA